TGTTTCCTATTGCTGCTGTAACAAACTACCATAAAGTTAGTGGCTTGAAACAACACACACGTATTCATACAGTTTTGGAGATCAAAATTCCAAAATGAATCTTAAGGGATGAAAATCAAGGTGTCAACAGGCAGGGCTGGTTCCCTTCTGGGATCTCCTAGGAAGAATATGCTCATCTCTTTCAGATTCTAAAGTCTGTTATGCATGTTTTGGCTCACAGCTGTATCTCTCCAGTCTCTGGTTCTGCTGTCACATCACTTTCTCCTCATTTTACTCCTCCTCCCTCCACTTTATAAGGACTCTTATAATTACACTGGATCTCTCCATCTCAATAAAGATCCTTCAGCATGTCTGCAAAGTCCCTTCTACTGCTTAAGGTGACATATTCACAGGTTCCAGGGATTAGGTCATGGTCATCTGTGTGAGACCATTTTTCTGTCTATTATAGTCAAGGAGAGATTTAAAATAAATTCTGAAAGGTACAGTCATAGAATTCAAAGTGAGCTTTGAGAGATTTTATAAAGCAGTGAAGAACATACTCACCGCTACATTATTAGAATCAATGATATGGTAGACCAACTTGAGATTCTCTGATCGGAAACAGAAGGGCCAGACTTTAAAAAGATAAGGAAGTAAAAAGATGGATGACAAATACAGAGCTATACATAGATAATGGATGTTTCTGATGAAGAGATCTGAACAAATAATAATAGCAGAAAAATTTCTTGAGCTGAATATAATTTTGCATCTTTAAGTTTGATTATCATGTACTAAAAAAAAAGTATGTGCAGAGAGCAACGTCTAGACAAATGCCTTTTTTTTTTTTAACGAAATTTTCAAATGCAAACAGAGCAGCCATCTGAGTGGAAAAAAGCATGATACAAAAGAATAAACCTCATGTTAATTTCAGACTTGTCTTATAATATAGAACTCTAAAATCATGAAGCAAAGGCTCCAGAGCTTTAAGGGTAGCATGCTTTAGCTGAAGATTGCTGTGCCTACCAGATTGTCATTTATGTGAGAAGGCAAGAGAAACACATGCTCAGGTTTGCAAGGGCTCAAAGAACTTCACCCTTGCATCTTATCTGAGAGTAATATGTGAATATCCACTCCAGTATACAGAGAGATAAAAAACAAAATCAAGAACTGGAGATACTGCATATAATTGAACTGCTTTTCTTTTTAGGATATAAAATGAGAAATAAGCAGAAACATAGATCATGGAAAATTTCAAGAATACAGTAGACATGGCAAAGCAAGATTGTTGATGCAAATGTTTTACTTTTCAAATCTGTTTATACATTCAGTTTTTACCACTTCTTGGTGGTAATAAATTTCCTATGTAACTATTATCCCTTTAATTTTCAAAGAATTAACCCTGCAACCTCAACAAATTACAAATGCAAATGAAGGGTTTTTTCCCCACAAGTATTAGAGACAATTTAAACATTCAAAATTACTACAGAGTCAAATAATAAAATACCATATACTCTTAAGAATTATGTATACAAAATGTTCTAAAAGACATGGGACTAGACATTTTATTATATAATCCAGGCAAAAGAAAAAATTTAGGACCAATGTTTGTATATACAGTATGGTCTCAACTATGCAAATTAGTGAAAGACAATAAAGAAAAAATCTAGAAATGGCTGCCACTAGGCAGTACAATTTGAAATAATTTTTAAGTTGTTTATTTTCCTTCTGTATTTAAAAATGTTACAAGTGTGTATCATGTTTATCATTAGAACAAAAAACTAATACAGGAAAAATGGAGGAAAATTAAATATTCTCCCATTAATGTACCATTTACTTTTGGAAAATCATAAAACACATCCATTCCAAAAATCTCAGAGTTGAAGAAATTGAGACCTGAAAATGTTACATCCATTTTCTAAAGTTATAAAGTTCAGCAGTGAGTGTTTCAGAACTAAAATCTGAATATACTGACTCCCAGCCAAGCACTCTTTAAACTCCCAATTAACTCTTTAATACAGCAGTTTTCAAACATTTTACTCTGTGAAACACATATTTTAATAAGTATACAAATTGAACTTAAACTATAAAAGCTCACTAGAGGACATGAAATGAGGCATGAAAATATGAAGAAACATACTCCTGAGTATAAAGTTCCCATTTCTCCCAAAATTAATCTATAAATTTAATACAATTCTGATCAAAATCCCAATTCTTTGGAGGCAGCTTTTTAAAAAATTAATAAGATTAATCTGGAAGAATAAATATATGAGTGGTAAAGAAAGATGTTTTCTTTTGGACAAAAAACAAGAACAATGAAGCATGACTAGACTTATCAGGTATCCAAAATGTGGTAAATATATATTATGCAGATTTAGACAAGTTGTTTGATGGAAGAGAATTTTTTCAAAAGACCCTTTTATACATAAGAATTTGACCCATGCCAAAGTTGAAATTTTTATAATAATGTAGTATCACACAGACTTTGGAATCAAAGAGGCAGGTTCAAATTTCATTTCTGACATTGACCAACTGTAAAAACCTGGTCAAGTTACTTAACTCAGAAGCCTCTATATTTTCTTCCTCAAACTAGTGATACAATAATTACTTTGTAGAGTTTGTGGTTAAGATTAAATCAGATTATGTATTTGAAGGGCATAGAATGGTCCCCAGAATTTAGTAACTAATCAATAAATGGCCGGCAGTAGTGGTGGAAGTGATGAAGGCAATGATAGTCATATTATTTTATGGTGAATAAATCTATATGTCTATCACATTCTCGGCCATTGTCCCCAATACCACCCCCCAGAAATGATGATTCACTAGGACAACTCACGAGTATTGTCATACTCATGACTATAAAACATTAAAAAGAGAAAAAGAAAATTGCAAAGGAAAAAGTTACCTGGGATGAAATCTGGAAGAAACCAGGTTCAAATTTCCATGAGTCCTCTCCCACTGGAGTCATACAGCTTGGGTTTATTTTCCCCAGGAACAAGTTATGATAAAAATATGCATTATTATATATCAAAAATTGTTTAGTCACTCAGTCTGACTTATTAGTCATTTTAGTCTGACTCTTTGCAACCCCATGGACTGTAGCCCACCAGGCTCCTCTGTCTATGGAATTCTCCAGGCAACAATACTGGAGTGGGTTGCCATACCCTTCTCCAGGGGATTGTCCTGATCCAGGGATCAAAACCAGGTCTCCCACACACAGGCAGATTCTTTACCTTCTGAGCCACCAGGGAAACAAAGAAGCTCAATAAAGATTCAGAGCCCAGGGTTTTCACTGGGGGCTGCTCATGTGGCCAAATTCCTCCTAGGACCTACCAAAATTCCAGATTCCCAGAGGAAACCAGGTGTTCAGTGTAAACAAGGTAGTTAGCACAAACACTTGGGGCACAGAGATGAGATGAATTCTTATCAGTTCTGAGATGTGAGAACCCCCCTGACACTAGCGAAAGATCAGCCCTACAAACAGACCTTTCTCAGCAGAGAAGACTCAGGCTGTCACACATTTCTATGGTGATACCTGAGTTTTGCAAGTTTCTCTGATGTTTGTATTTTCTAAACTTTATTCCACCTTACAGCAGTATATTATAATGCAAGAGTGGAAGAACAGTTTTGTTACAGAGATTGCCTTGAATCAATTCAAAGTATAGTTTAACTAAATTCACATGAAAGCTTCTGTACTTTTTTCCATCAGTAACAAATTCCTCCAAACACCTCACAACTTATACCATACTTGAGAATCAATCCAATGTATTTTTACCTTTTTATTTCACTTATATGGTTGGATGGCATCACTGACTTGATGGACATGAGTTTGAGCAAACTCCGGGAGCTAGTGATGGACAGGGAATCCTGGAGTGCTGCAGTCCATGGGGTCGCAAAGAGTTGAACATGACTGAGCTGAACTTCTGTACTTTTTTCCATCAGTGACAAATTCCTCCAAACACCTCACAACTTATACCATACTTGGGAATCAATCCAATGTATTTTTAACTGTTTCTTTTACTTATGTATAAGTATGAACAATTTTTTGGAAAATACTTTAATAATACAACATTTTTAATTATATTTTTGGTATTATGAACTTATTTCCAATAAATATAAGGTGATTTCAGATTGTCGCAGAACAGCCATAAACTGCTATCACCTCTCTCTCCCCCATACACACAGCATGAAATTATACATGATCAGATACTTTCAATTACATGGAACAGCTCAGTTTTCAAAGCCTTTCCTCCTGACAGCATGGTCTCTCGTCAGAACTCTCCTCACTGAGGTAAATTAGCTCCATGGAGGCCATGATTTTTTTCTTTCCTCCAGTGCCCCCACTCTTCACTCTTTTAATCTTCATCTTTCTCTTTTTTCTCCTAATTCTCTCTTTCCTTACTCAGTGAAGATCCTATTTACTGTGAGACTAGAGCCCTTGTTTTTCTGTCTCCACTTTGAAGAAGAATTTTCACCTAGACCCACTGAATTTTCCAAGATGGATTTCCTCCCTCAGTGTGCACCCAGGTCTCCTGAGGTAACCCTCAGCCTCATCCCAACCTGCCTGAGGAGCACCAGAAGTCCAAACCAGAAAGGGTCAACAGTCCTCTCTTAAAAAGCATAGTGACCACAATGCCAGTATTGATTTATTACAGGCAGTTCTTACCAAACCAATTTAATATACATCAGTAAACGTTCCATGTAATGGATTCTGGAGACACATCAGTCCATATTTTGTATGAGGTGAAAAATGGTGGTTCAAGATTGAAAATCTTTTCCGTGTTTCAGATGGACTCTTCTCCTTGTATAAAACCTACTATAATCTTTCGGGCCTTCCCTGGTGGCTCAGAGAGTAAAGAATCTGCCTGCAGTGTGGGAGACCTGGGTTCGATCCCTGAGTCAGGAAGATCTCCTGGAGAAGGGAATGGCTACCCGCTCCAGTATTGTTGCCTGGAGAATTCCACGGGCAGATAGTCTTTAACCTTGCTAAAACACATAAAATTAAACTATCCTCTATTTTATAGATTTCCAGGCCATGGGGTTGAAGAAAGGGATGTTTTTCAACCCAGACCCTTACCTGAAGATTTCTATTCAGCCTGGGAAGCACAGCATCTTTCCTGCCCTCCCCCACCACGGACAGGAGAGGCGATCCAAAATCATTGGCAACACTGTGAACCCCATCTGGCAGGCCGAGGTGAGTTCCCAGGCCCTGAAAAAGGGGCTTAAGTGAAAAAGCGAAGTGACTGACCATAAGCTCACGTGCTACTCCCTCCCTTCTTGGAGCCCCAAACTCTTCTGCTAAGTTCATGGTTCTCTTAGTCCTAGAAGGGGGCCATGTTCTCTTCGGGTTATAACTCCTATGGATTTTTTTTTTAAGTGGGTGAAGTGTAGTTTTTTTGTATTTATTTTATTTTAATTTTTATTGGAGTATAGTTGATTTACATTGCTGTGTTATAGCAAAGTGAATCAAGTATATAGCAAGAATATAGCAAAGTGAATCAGTTATACATATATCCACTCTTTTTTAGATTCTTTTTCCATACAGGCCATTAGAGTATTGAGTATAGAGTTCCCTGTGGTAAACAGTAAGTCCTTATTAGTTATCTGTTTTACTTATAGTAGTGTGTATATCCCAATCTCCCAGGTTATTCCTCTGCCCTTACCCCCTGGTAACCATAAATTTGTTTTATATGTCTATGACTCTGTTTCTGTTTTGTAGATAAGCTCATTCATCCATGTTGCTGCAAATGGCATTATTTCATTCTTTTTTATGGCTGAGTAGTACTATATTGTATGCATGTAACACATTTTCTTTATTCATTACTCTGTTGATGGGCATTTAAGTTGTTTCCATGTCTTGGTGGGTACTGGAACCAGTCCCCCAACAAATGAGGGGACAACTGTAATAGCCTCTTCCTCTGATTCTGAGCCTGCACCAGAACACCCTCTCTCTGCCTTTGTGTGGGAGTAGGAAGAAATGCATTTGATCCAAGCATTCTCCCACACTTCCCACACATGTGGTCCTTAAGTGAGAGTGACAAATTTAAACTGTGTCCATCTGGACCAGTTCCAAAGATTCTGACACTGTCAGGTTCCTGGGACAGGTAAAACAAGCCCTAGAATAACACTGGGGTTGCATACTATTTGATTTAAATAGGTATAAATTTAAACAGATTTAAATAGTTCACACCATCTTCCTGGTTTGCACAGTGCTAGGCACCTTGCTGGAGCTTTGAATAGTTTGTTTCATCTGATGAAGGTGATTTTCTTCCCCTACATGTGTCTCCTCTGCCAGCTGGGAGCGAGGAGGTTCCTCAACAAGGCCTCATCTGTCTCAGCCTCCCAGTGACTAAGTCTTGTCCGAGAGAACTAGCAGGAAGTTGTCACCCCCACTGACTGCCTAGCTCCCTTCTTTAGCTTGAGGGGATAATCTGCAAACTGCATGGCTTAAGGAACAGGGAGGCTTAGGACATGAAAGTGCCACAATATAATGTAGGAGTTAAAAGTATAGCTTTGCAGTGACACAGACCTTGGTTCAAATCCCAGCTTGGCCAGTTATTAGTTGTATAATTTTGAGAAATCAGTTATCCTCAATCTGAGCATCAGATTTTCCTTATCAGACTGGTGCTGATGGATCCTAGGCACTCACTTTGGGCAAGATTCTTCTTTTATTCTTCAAAGTAGATCATCTCTGATGCGGAACTTTCAAGCATCCTTTTGACAAGAAAGTATAGATATTTAGGGACAAAGATTTTTCATTTTCTGCTTCCTAGGCTTAATTAGGCTTTATAGGGGCTTCCCAAGTGGCGCAGTGATAAAGAATCTACCTGCCAACATAGGAGACCCAAGAGACTTGGGTTTGAGTCTGGGGTCGGGAAGACCCCCTGAAGCTGGAAATGGCAACCCACTCCAATATTCTTGCCTGGAAAATTTCATGGATAGAGGAACCCGGTAGGCTACAATCCATGGGGTCACAAAGAGTAGGACATGTCTGAGCACCGCACACGCTTTGTAGAAGGTGACCATCAGGGAAATAGAGTTGCATTTGAACTTCTTACTACTTTGGTTATCAATAGACTGAAAGCACTCATAGTGCCACTCGCATGGAGTCATGAATCTTAAATTATTTGTTCCTACATTCCTGGCTATTCTTGGCAGTTATTTATGGACTTCTCACTGCATTCCTGGGAATACAAGATGCCATAGAAATTTATAGCACATGAAAAGAAAAAAGCCTCTTTCTTCTGAAGAACTTTAGAGCAGCTTGTACTAAGACCTTTAGTCATAAAGGTATTATAAGTCTCAAAGAGCATTTATAAAATCCAGCACCATCAGAATATGTTTTGGCTAAAAATGTCAACTAGATTCACTTTAGGTTCTGAAACTATTTCTGAATCTTTAGTTCAGATTTATTTTGCTCGGCGAGGACATAGCAGACTCTCACTCTTCCTCTGCTCTTGACCTACTCGGGTCTTTCCAGCATGCTGTGGCAAAGGTTTGCATCCCGAAATAAGTTCTACCACATGTCTCCCTCACAAGGCTCAGAGGGAGCTTGTTTCATTTGCTGTCTCAAGTTAAGCAGCAGAGTAACTGGCTGAGCTGTGATTTAAAGCAGTGTGGTTTGTGGTGCTGCAAAGCTGTATTTTCAAAGCCCCTAAATGAGCCTAGAGTGCCCAGTGCTCAAATGTGGATGTCTCAGCCCCAGTGGAGAACATCTGAGGCCTTCGCTGACCCAGCACTGCTTACCACCTGTGTCAGTCAGGGGTGCCTCTGGCTCTGAACTAGAGAAAGCCTGGCCAGCTGTGGTATTTCTCACAAACAGGGAGTCCAGAGGGAGGTGTGCAGGCCGTGCAGCTACTGAGCACGGCCCCCAGGGGCCCGAACTTTCTGGGTATTCCTACTATACCTCAGCAGATGGCTCTCCTCTTCCTGTCTGACAGCCTCAAACCCAAGTTCCAGGTAGGGACAAAGCAAAACAAAAAAAAAGAAACTTTCTTCTTGAAAGGCTTTCACTTTTTATCCTGTAGGAGACGCCCTTTTCAGCAAAAGCCCTATTAACTGTCACAGGACCTCAGCTGTTTGGAAAGATCTAATGTTTCACTTCCCCACCTCCAGCAGGAAGGGCAGGGGAAGAGACAGTGAACATGGGTGCTGAATAAACTGGTTTATCGTGTCCGCAGCGTGCTTCAGTTGTACTTCCTGCGCCTTTCACCTCTGACTCTGTACAGAGGTTACTCTCAGGGGCTGCTTTCACATGGCTACATAAATTGTGTCTTTGCTTACATCTGCCTAAAATGTACATCCTCAACTAATGCAACCAGTGACTCCCACTTATACACAGATTCTCAACTAAAATACCATCTCCTGCCTGGTGCCCTCTCCTAGGCCTCAGAAGGAAAGTGCTCCATCCTCTGCTCCTTTGTCCAGACTTCTACCAGAGTATCTTTTATTTGCACAGCTGTCTTCATAAGACTTTGAGCTCCTCAAGGAAAGAAATCCTGTCCAATTTATTTTGATACCTCCAGTTCCCAGAGCCTACTCCTGGTAGTTTCTATAAGGCTTACTATGCCAAGCCATGTTCTAAATGTGTTATTTAATTAACTCATTTCATCCTCATAACAACCCTCTAAGATATGTACCATTGTAATCCCCATTGAAAGATGAAGAACTCAAGACACAGGGAAATTAAGTGATTTTCCTAAGATCATACAGCTGGTAAATGACAGAACCAGAATTTGAACCAGTTCAGAGCCTGATATTGATCAGTTTTGTGCATAGGTGGTTGTGAATAAATTCTGGAGAAAGTATCTACAACTTGTATCATATACTCAGAATGACCATTATATGTCCTTTTATTTTAGGTGGAAAAAATCAGTTGACATCGACAGCATTGAGTGATAAGGCCAAAATCAATTATCAAAAGCTTAAATTGTTCTTTCCAGCTAATCATATGAATGCCTACTTCTGGAGAATAAGTTTGAAAGATAAATGAATTTTTTAATATGGGGAAAGCAGGGTGAAGTTCTCATGGTTGATCATTCATTTAAGAAATATTTATTGTGCATCTACTCTGTAATAGAAGTTGAAGTGGCAGGAAGGACACAGAAACAATTGATAGATAAGACCCCACAGGCACATGGAAGGAAACAATACAGTGAAATAAATGTCCCAATCACAGTGTAAACAGAATGCTGCAAAGCACTGAGGGAAGACCCCACAGAGGGTGCACTCTTGGACTTGGGTCTTGACAAGTGGTAGGACATTTTGGGGGAGAGGGAGGGCATTCCAGGTGCATATGCAGAGGTACCAAGGCATCCACAGACACTTATGGGGCAGGTCAGAAATGTCTCGTGGGTAGCTTGTGGTGTGCATGGACATGAGATGACAGCTGGGCTGGGTTTACTTTAATCACACACATTGCGTGGTTTCCTGATTTCCTTACAAGTAAAAACTAATGTTGGCTTCTGGGTCTCACATTGCAACCCATGGTGAGTGAAATGAAGATTCCTTGCTCCTACTGGATTTATGCAAGTCAGTAAATCTCTATGCAAGAAGGTAAATGAGGACCAAGTGTCCTACTTTCTGTATTTGCTGATTAACATTCCAGCGATGTTCAGTGAGAAATAATTGATGTTGCTTGCAGTAAAGAGCAAGAATACCCTTTAACATGTAGTTTAAATGCTAAATTTATTTCTATGATTAATGTTTCATTAAAGTCTTATGTGATTTTTTCAAATTTATGCAAGTTCAAACTTGAAACATATTTTTGCTGATTAAAACCTGCTAAATCTTAGAAAAATTAAAGTTAGGATCAGAATTTTTAAATGAGGGAAAATGGAGAGAAATAGATATTAAATTTAATGTGAACTAAAAAAATTAAAATGAAGACTTCCAAGTTGATTGATTTATCTCCTCTTTTTTTATTATTACTGTAATTAGAAACTTTTTTTCACCCTGGGAACACTCTCCTTGATTTTTAGGTCTGTTTACTTTCTAAGATGGATATAATGAGCATTTATAAGATTATAGCTTCACAGAGAAGTTAAACAGAAACAGCAGCAACTAATGAGTTTTGGGTTATCTGTTCAGCATGCTTATATACAGAGTATAGTTCTACCTCTAAATAAAACAAGGAATTCCTAAAAGTGGAGTCTCAAAAATATCAAGCAGGTTGAGCAGATATTAAAATTGGGC